GAAAGACAAATTCTGTATGGTTTCACTTATATGTGGAATCTAAAAAAGAAATAAAGCAAAAATAAACCTGTAAATACAGAGAACAAACTAGTGGTTGCCAGAGGGAGGATGGGTAAAATGGGTGAAGGGGAATGGGAGGTACAGGCTTCTAGTTATGGAATAAATAAGTCACAGGGTGAAAGGTAGAGCATGGAAATATAGCCAATGGTCAGGCGCCTGGGTGGCTCAGTCGGTTAAGCATCTGCCTTCGGCTCAGGTCATGATCCCAGAGTCCTGGGATCGAGTCCCACATTGGGCTCTCTGCTCAGCAGGGGGTCTGCTTCTCCCTCTCACTCAAATAAATAAATAAAATCTTAAAAAAAAAAAAAAAAGAAAGAAGGGCGCCTGGGTGGCTCAGTTGGTTAAGCATCTGCCTTCGGCTCAGGTCATGATCCCAGAGTCCTGGGATCGAGTCCCACATCGGGCTCTCTGCTCAGCAGGGGGTCTGCTTCTCCCTCTGACCCTCCCCCCTCTCATGTGCTCTCTCTCTCAAATAAATAAATAAAATCTTTAAAAAAAAAAAAAAGAAAAGAAAGAAAATATAGCCAATGGTATTGTAACACTGTTGCATGGTGACAGATGGGAGCTACATTTGTGGTGAGCATAGCATAATGTAGAGTTGTCCAATCACTATGTTGTATGCCTGAAACTAATGTACCATTGTGTATCAACCCTACTTCAACTGAAAAAAAAGTTCTATTTTAATGAATGGGAAATTGTATGATGTTAATGTATGTTAAATAATCATACATTATCTTCAAATAAATAAATTAGTAAATGAATTTGTAAATAAATTGTTGTTTTTTTAATTAAGTAGGCCCTGTGCCCAACAGGGGACTCGAACTCACAACCCTGAGATCAAGAGTTGCATGCTCTACCAACTGAACCAGCCAGGCACCTCTATTTGTTTTTGTTTTTGTTTTTTTTCAACGGATGAACGTAATTATACTATAGTGAAGGGTTAAGGTTTACAATGCTTACCTTGAAGTAAAGACTCAATAAACATGCCTTTGTTTTTACCATGTTTCACATATTTAATAAAATAAGCTAATTAGAAACCAATGTATTTCAAATGTGCCAACTAAAAATAAGTATAATATTCTTCTTCATTGTTTCCAGGTGCTTAGCAAACTTTACCAATAGTCCTTCATTGCCTTGGATTAATTTACAGATAGGAATTAATACCAATAATAAGAATATGCATTTTTTTATACATCTTAAACTGTGAAACAAGCTTGGATTCTCTGTTTTTCAGACATCAGGGGGAGGAAGTTTCTTCTCAGTGGAAAAATGTATTCATCTTATCCTAGAGTAAAGAAAATAGTGAACAAATCAGTAAGTTTTTACTTTGGGGAAATGCTCTTTAATCCCAACCCCATTTCAATCTAAATTTGATTTAATATTCCCAACAGTATTTCATTTGGTAGAGCAGAATATAAAAGCCACACCCATGTGATCCAGGTAACTAACGAACCCACTGCTCAGTCTTCCAGACCCGCATTGCTCAGAGTACAGTGTCCAGACTAGTCGTGTTGGCATCACCTGGGAGCTGGTTAGAAATGCAGAATCCCAGGGACACCTGGGTAGCTCCGTTGGTTAAGCATCCAACTCTTGATTTCAGCTCAGGTCCTGATCTCATGGGTTGTGAGATCAAGCCCTGTGTCGGGCTCCATGCTCAGTGGGAGTCTGCTTGAGATTCTCTCCCCCTTACCCTCTGACCTTTCCCCCACTTGTGTGCATGTGCGTGTGCATGCGCTCTCTCAAATGAATAAATAAAGCTTAAAAAAAAAAAAAAAGGAAGGGAAGAAAGAAACGCAGAATCCTGGACCCCACCCCAGACCTACTGTATCAGAATCTAAATCTTAGTAAGATACCCATATCATTTGTAGACACATTAAAGCTTCAGAAGTACTGGGCTAGACAACTTTAGTTGTTATATGCCACAGAACAAGAAGGAAATGATAGAAGAAAAGGAATAAAACTTGTTAGTATGATGAAGATAGCGGATGCTTCGCAGTTTCTAACAGCAATGTGTTTTAGAACTAAAATTAGATGATTGTGATTCTAATTTTCAATTTTAAATAATGTGTATTAAATGTTGGAAGAGTCACAACTACAATGACCATGTTGTTCATGAGAAAGAGGAAAAAAAGCTCAAGTGAACAGGAAAAAGGTGAGTGAGGACCGGCTGAGTTATCTAACGGAAGTATACTTTACGAGAGAAGTTCCTGGAAATATCGTAATCCATGGAAAACCTGTCTTTGAAAGCATCAGTTCTAAGGTGTATATACAATATATGCAACTTTTCATGATTGACACACTAAAATCAATAGGTTCCATCGCTGTTCCCTCTACTGTTTACATTCTGTTTAATTTGGCAGACTCAAATAGGGAAAACCATATACTTTTGTGGAGGGAGAGATTTATGTGGGTTAGCAGCAAGATGATTCTGAACATACAGTAAGCATCCAACATACACTTCTTGGTTTGTCATTCATTGGTCATTCTCGTGACAAAAAGGGATCAAGTACCTACTGTGCCAGGCGCCATGCTAAGTGCATGGTGTTAGTGGAAAGAGACATAGTTCATGCTTTCCTGGAGTTTCTGATAGTGTATGAATTACTGCTGATCAGTTTTTTAAAATTATCTGTGGACATTGTTCATCTATGATATTTCTGTGCCTCGCATCTACCTTTTTTGATAATGAGAAGTCTAATTCTTCATTATCAGTCTGATTCATGTAGATTGATCACATTGTGATTTGTACAGCAGATGGTAGGAGTTGATATGGCAAAATGCAGCTGATAACTTACAGAAATGAAGCTGAGATATATAACTATAGTAGTTATATATTATAATATGATCACTATTGGGGCACCTGGGTGGCTCAGTTGGTTAAGCATCCTACTCTTGATTTCAGCTCAGGTTATGATCTCAGGGTCGTGAGATCGAGCCCTGTGTTGGCCCTGGGCTGGGTGTAGAACCTGCTTAAGATTCTCTCTCTCCCTCTCCTTACCCTCCCACTCCTGCTCGCACACATATGTTCTCTCTCTCTCTCTCTCAAAAAAAAAAAGTTTATAACATGATCACTGTAAGTGCTTGACATGGGCTGTAGATAGAGGCCTGGAGGCTGCTAGGAAGGTAGTGTGGATGAGTAAAAATGAGTGGTAGCAATGAACAAGTCTCTCCTAAATTGTATGGATGAAAATAATGCAATTATGGTCAAAGTCAGACACGCATTTTTTAAAATCATACGTCCCCGCCTGGTGAATTGGGTCATCTATTGGAGTTTTATATCTTCACATGAAGGTAATTTGTTCTTCAAACCAGTCTTACAATACGGCATTTAGAAAACATTCATTTTTAAAATAAATAGGTTTGGGAGTTTTCTTGGAATGATGAATTTATCCACTATAATTAGAACCTGACAAATTGGGTGGAAAGTTGAAGTAAACAGCCCCCGATGGGCAAGAGGCCCAGACTTGAGTTGAATCAACCCTCACTTCAGGACACTGCTATCTTTGTGGATTTTGAGTGTAGTTGTTTCCCAGGATGGTTCCAACCCCACATTCCCTCAGCCCTGGCATTTGTGCAGGTTTAACTACCACCCCCACTGGTTCCGCCCTTGTTGTCCAGGGACTAGAAGTTACTGGAAGTTAAGAGCATTGTCTCAGAAGTCAGAGGGACACAGGTTTGTAGTTCTGGCCTCACCGCCTCCTAGATACAGGATCTTGAGTACATATTCTCCCTACTGAATTCAGATCTTAGAGGCTGCCTCCCAGGAGGCCCTTCTCCTTTGTGCCACTTTTTCTGAGCTCTCACCCCATTCCAGGTTCAACAGACTCCCCAGCTCTTGGGCACAGTTTGGCTCATAGAGGCAATAATATCTAGTGGTTAAAAGCCACTGGAGACCGGCTGTCTGGGTTCCGATCTCAGAATGTCCTTTCACTAGCTGAGTGGCTCTCAGTAGATTATTCAACCTTGCTGTGCCTCAGTTTCCTAATCTATAACACGAATTGTACCTGTTTCACATGATTCTTGTAAAGATTAAAGAGATCATTATACATGAAGAATCTAGAATAAGAAGTGTCATATAGCATTTGCTATTACGAGTCATTTCTTGGGTAAAATTATCCAAGCTTGGCATTTGCCCACTTCTCTATTCTCATTCTAGGGTAACCTCCCAACTGTAGAGCTACTTTTAGGATTTGTATACCCCATTTCAGGTCCCTAGAGTATCTGGACACTGCTTATGCTTCTATGCCAAGACCCCTGCGTTCTCCACATCCTGCCACCAATTTCCCGGCAGACACTGGTTATGACAGTGAGGAATGAGTAATATTTTGTTCCAACCTTTATGTCTGTGAGGAACAGTGCACTGGACCCAGCTGGGTGGCCTTTTACCTCAACTAGGGAGAAACTCGGGGAGCCCGGCAAAGTAGTTGCCTGACTCTTCCTTAATTCCCTCGTCTCCGTTTCCTCATTTCCATCAGTAAGCAAAGATCTGAAAAAAAGGGACAGTGCAAGATTCCTCCCCACCCAGGCTGGCTGTGTGCCAGAAAGGCTTCCTGCATAAAAAGTATAGAGTCCAGAGGGTAACTCAAGAGTATGAACTTCTGTTGTATCCGGGGGGAATTTGCTCAGCTGAACTGTTAACTGTTTGAGTTCTATAATGAGGTAATGTAGCTAAGCTAAAAGTAACTCAGGAGAAGCAAATCAAAAGAAGATTGCATCTTGGGGCGCCTGGGTGGCTCAGTCGGTTAAGCCTCTGCCTTCGGCTCAGGTCATGATCCCAGGGTCCTGGGATCGAGCCCCATGTCCAGCTCTCCACTCAGTGGGGAGTCTGCTTCGCCCTCTCCCTCTGTGCTCTCTCTCTTTCTCAAATAAATAAAATCTTAAAAAAAAAAAAAAGGAGATTGCATTGAGAACTTGAAATAAAGCATACACCACTGGGCTGTGAGCTAATCGGCGCACTCGGGGCTTTCAGTAGAAGTCAAGAGTATCAGGATCTTACTTCTCAGCCCTCCATGCCTCGAATAGTACTTGGCTTGTGGCAGCAAACTGTTTCCGCTCAGCAGTCCCGGCTTCAAGCCTCCCACGGGGAGATTCCTTTTAATGCTCCAAATCCCTTCCAGGGCCACTGTCAATATTTTCAGAAGCAAGATGACAATTATTAGCTGAGTTCCTTTTCAGCGCAACATCTTTTAGAAGTATTTACTGGGTGATTATTTTTTCAGTCATTTGGGTGGAAGTTGATTTTGTTTGATGAATCAAACCACCCAAGATCTTTAGCATTTGTTTAATCTTTTATTTCAGTTCATTCATTCAATTATTCCATAGGCAGTTAAGCCTCTACAGTGCTATTAGATCATTTAGCTGGCCCCTGAAGACATAGATGAAAAGTCAGTATAGAAACATATATAACAAAACACAAAAGGATCAGAAATAAATTAGTTAATATAGACACTTCATGCGGCCAGCCCTGATTCTAATTCCTCGAAATACAAATATTTCCAAAGAAAATATAACCAAAAGTTCATCATATACATTCAGCTATCACCTAAAAGACTGAACTAGATGCTATTTAATTGCCCCTTGAATGAAAACAACAAGCTCACTGGAAAACACCAGAGACAAATACTCGGGATGCAATGTCTATGCATTGATATGAAGCAAATCGTAGTCTTAAGTCCTGATACCATCCAGTAAGTATTGTTTTAGTGATTTTATTTGCACTGGATTATTCTCCATATCCTAAAAGCACTTATTTAGTTCTTGAGAGTCAGTTAACAACAATTTTCTTTTGGGGAAAATCTGTCATGTAGAAAACTGTGACCCAAGTCAAATAAGGTTATTCAGGTTAAATACATCGTTTTTACCATTTCTGAAGCTGCAAATTATGCCCAAATATTCTCCACAGATCTGAGGCCGCCTACTGGTATCCACACTAACATCTGATTCCTCCCCAAAGGATTCTGTACCGTGTAGTGGTTAGGGGCATGGTGTTTAGGGTCAGAAGGGATATGGATTTGTCTTTGCTTCACCACCTGCCAGTTGTATGGCTTTGAGCAAGTTATTGAACCCACCATGTCTCCGTTTCCTCAGCTTTGAAATGGGGATAATATCTAGCTTGAAGAATTATTATAGGATCTGGATGAAATGGATTTAAAGTGCTTTGCATTCAATAAATGGTAACTATTATTTTTATAGGGACAATGATTTTCCTGTCCAAGCATGGACTCAGATTCTGTTTCTGGAAGCAGAATCAATGAGCTGACTCACCAAGCGGAATGTCGATATTTGCCTCTTCCTCCCCACTCCTGAATGGAGTTAGCTGAAGGTATCTGGCAAAGTTCCTTTCTTCCCTCTCCTTCAAAGACCTTCAAGGAAGACTCCACAATCTCCTTCTGTCAAGACCTTACAAAGTTTAAGCTGTTCCTTATATCTAACCCAAATCTTTCCCCACCCTTCCAGCCAGTTTCCTCTTCTTCTATCCTGTCTAGAGACAGTAAAGAGCTGCTCTCCAGCCCCTGGATAATAGACTCTCAGATTTAGGAGTCCACCGATATTTATTAAATGCCTCCTGTGTACAACACCCAGTAAGAAACCAAGGAAATGGATTTAGATTTGTTCCACATTGAGAGAAGTTCTGGCAAACGGAAAACATTTTGACATCAGGAGGCAGAACTATGTAGAAAAACCACATTAAATTAGAAAAATTATACTAATCTAATCAAGTTGTGCTCTTTCAGATGCAATCTGGAATCCAGGAATATCTGGAAGTTTACAATTTAATAGGGAAAATACCTTAAATGTAAATGCAGATGCTCAGAAATGCATGAGAAAAATAAAAGCAAAATATAGTTATGTATAAGTATTTACTGTACTCAGGAATAGAGATTGCTGGAAAAAAACAGTGCTACTTTGATTTGATATGTTTGGGTGAAGAAGTTACAGAAGTGAGGGCGCCTGGGTGGCTCAGTCGTTGAGAGTGCCTTCGGCTCAGGTCATGATCCTGGAGTCCCTGGATCGAGTCCCGCATCGGGCTCCCTGCTTGGCAGGGAGCCTGCTTCTCCCTCTGACCCTCCCCCCTCTCATGTGCTCTCTGTCTCTCTCATTCTCTCTGTCTCAAATAAATAAATAAAATCTTAAAAAAAAAAATAAAAAATAAAAAATAAAAATAAAAAAAAGTTACAGAGGTGATATGTTCAACTGGAGAAAAAGAGGTCTGGAAAGAAGCACAAATGTCCTTGGAAGCACCTTCTTTAGAGAGAACTCCAACTCCCTCTGCTCTGGGCATGCGCATTCCAGGAGGAAGGAAGACGGGGGGGGGGGGGGAGGAGAGCCAGGAAGGCCACAGTGTCGGCGCACAACCTGCAAAGGGCGGCAGGACAAGAATAAAGCTCAGAGAAAGGAATTAAATCCCTTCTGGAAGCTCGGAATCTTCTGGAGAGTCTTCTCTCTTCCCTTCTCTGCCCCCAGCCCCTTCTACTCAGGGACCTTTCTAGGTGTGTTTTTATTCTGAAATGTAAAGTTACTAAACCATGATTTTATGCTAGACTTTTTTTTCCCAAGATTTTATTTATTTGACAAAGAGACACAGCCAGAGAGGGAACACAAGCAGGGGGAGTGGAGGAGGGAGAAGCAGGCTTCCCGCTGAGCAGGGAGCCCGATGCGGGGCTCGATCCCAGGACCCTGGGACCATGACCTGAGCCGAAGGCAGACGCTTAATGACTGAGCCACCCAGATGCCCCTTATGCTAGAAATTTTAGCCAGAGGGACCTGGCCTGGTCTTTCAGGGAAGGTAAGCTCACCCTTCAAAAATACTTTTGTTGCCTTCAGCTGTCTCTGATTCTGAGTAATGAACATTAGAACTTGAAAGGCCAGTTTAGAGCTTTATCATCTGTGTTTCCTTTGTGTAAACATGGTCAGAGATTTGAGCACAGGAAGAAAAATTTAAGTCATTTAAGTTTATCTTTGGTGACTTATACGTTCTGTAATTATCTTGACATGCCTTTGGTGTCTAGTAAATTCCCTTTATATTGTAGGTACACCAAATATTTTTGTTGAATGAATTAATGAATAACAAACATATCCACGCTTGTTGAGTGATGTTTTACATTTTCTAAATTGGTACTAAATGTAATAAATAAACCAGATTCAAAATTAAGTTTTTATGCATTCAGGGACATATAGGCACAAAGTCATGGATTTGGCAGGACACTTGAAATTCATTGAAAAAGGCGATGTTGTGTAAGAGAAAACTAGTAAATTTTATTAATCAAAATTTTTATGATTACTAGAACCTCTGCAGGTTTCAGCCAGAAAAATACAAAAGCCCTTGCAATTTGAAAACATTAAATTAAAACATAATTTCCACAGAGTCTTCTATAAAAGTTCTTAGAAATGTAGAAATAATTTTAAGATAAATGGTAAAAAGAAAGCAACAGTCTGATAATGCATGTCTCACAAGCTTACCTCTTTTTTTAAAAAGTTGTAAGGAGGGGAAAATCTCTAGGGAATCACTAAGAATATGTGAATGATGACGTTAGCTAAATTCTTCCTTATCCAGAAAGTTCCATAAGTGGCCCCAAATCCCATTCTCATCTGACGGAAGATTTGGTCAGAAAATGGCATTTGTTTGTCGGGATGTTGAGAACCTTTTTGAGCAGCTCCCAGACCCTGTCCTTATCTTGATAGGAATGTGTAAAGCCTCTGAAGGCTGTTCTACCTCCAGTTTGAAGCTAAACTGAGGCAGAACCTGGAAAAGATTGTGACAACCTTTCTTTTACTAAAGAGAATACTATTTGCTCTCAATACAATTTCAAATCTTCTTTCCTCACAGAAAACATAAGCTTATGTTTCAAAAGAGACTGGATAGCCCAACAGCTAAGAGCAAGGAGGTCAGCTTCTGACAAGCCTATTGCGCTGTGTGACAAAGGATAAGTCACCATACTCCCTGAGCCTCAGCATCCAGATCTGCAAAATGGGAATTATAAGAGTGCAGGGTCATTGCAAGGACTGAAAGAGATAATTTGTAAGAACTGTAAAAAATTAATAATAGTAGTATTAATTATTAATAATACCTATTATTATTACCACCATTATTGTGTATATATAGAGAGAGACACCCTCCACCTACCCCTACCCCTCACCCCAGCCTCCAGTCCTTCTCACTGAGCCCATCTATCTCTCTATCAGGAGCCAAGAGGAATCCAAATCCTAGAGGAGAGGGCTTAGTGGCCTGGCAGCCCATTTTTCCTGTGGCCACAGATGCCATTCCCTAGACCCAAGTATTGGGTAACAACAGCTCAGAACACCTTGGCCATGTCAATATCTTCACAGCTCTTATTAACTGTTGTCACAACACAACCACAAGAACAAGTAGGATAGCTCATTTAGCTGAAGGTCCCAGAAGACCAACAGATCTTTTGCCTGAGTCCCCATTTGCCCCCCAAACAAAAATATCCCAGAAGAAATGTTATGTTTGCTCTGTTAAACGTCCATAAAAGCTAATTAATGAATCTCAGACTTTTGACTTATTTCATTCAACCCAAGAAAAAGACAACTTTGATCTTACACCACTTTCATTCAGCCAAACGAAAACGGGAAAAGCACAGAAAGAACTGAAGTCCACTGCTTCTGGGCACTTCCACGATTGTCCTAATTAGCTCAGTCAGAAAGAAAACATGCTTGATTTCAGTTGCTTAACTTCAGACAAATCCCCCCTCCTAATAGATGATATAAGCTCTTCGGTAAGTTCACCCATACTTTGCTACGGGGCCCAGTGTTTTGGTGCTTTATCAATGGTTGAGGAAAAACCCAGTCTGGACACTTACTGAAATCTCATTTTCATCATCAGATTGTTGTGAGAGAATGTGGACTTGAGAGTTTAAAAATTCAAACAAATCCAGTTAATGCATACATTGCTGTAAATTTACGCTTGGACACATGCCTATACCTTGGGGTCCCTAGAATTTAGATAGACTTGGGTATATCGAAAAAATAGTATATATTGTTTATCTATAGTCACAAAATCAATATATATATAGAAAAGCCAGGCAGGTAATATAAGTAAGTAAAGCAGGCCAGGGCTAAGAAATAATTGGCTCTCCTACTTCTTCTATCTTTTTCCACTTTTGTTGGAGACATGGATACCAGAGAAACACATTCTTTCCTCTTTCCACCATGAGAGGAGGAAGTCTGCAGTGGAAGTGTGAACATGAATAGTTTGGGATATGCCCCACCTGGCTGGGGACCTTCATGTGGATGGGTAACAGCGTGGGCAGACCAGCTAGGGCAGCGTAAGCCGACTCCAGTCCCTGTGCCATGTGTGAATGTCAACTTGGCTATCACATCGTTCTTTCTCCTCCTCCCCTCCCTCTTCACGCAAGATAATCTAGAAATCTAGATTCGTATGTAAAAAGTCCTAATTTATTAAATGTTGACGACTGATTCATATATTTAAAAAATATAATTCAGAACAAATAAATTTGTCTATTTGTTTGCAAGATGAGCCTGGCATAGGGGTCAACCGTTTGGGATCCTGAGCCAAACTAAGATACCCCTGAGAGCCTAATTAAATGCAAGACATGGTAATCTGGAGTGGGTATGAAGGATGGCTCTGTGGTTTTGAACTTGGCCATTATGCCATGTCATGCATTTGGATGGGTGATATATAGGAAGGAGTAAGTCGAGGAGAGGTATGAGTTTCATTTTGGACATATTGATCTTGAGTACTTATAGGACATCCAGTAAGAGAAATTGAGCCTGGACACACAGACTTCAGACACAGACACATCGTAGTGAGGCAGTGGTAGAAACAATGTGAATGGCTGAGATGATCCAGGGAGAGCCAATGGAACAAGATTAGAAGACTGTGGGTAACACCCTGGTAGGCATCAATATTTGGGGATGAAGGTGAGTGAAAAGAAGTTCTCAATGGAGGATGAGAAGGAATATCCAAAGAAGAGAACAAGGATATTTAGTGTCAAGGAATTTGAGGAAAAAACAAAGTTTAAGGAGAACCATCAATTATGTCAAGTAGTGCAGAAATCTCAAGCCAGCCAAGGGCAGAACAGGACCCACGGGACTTGGTCATAATATGTCACTGGAAATACTATAGTGCACAGAATGCCAATGGGATTTGGGATCAGACCTGAGTTTGGAATCTGGTTTTGCCACTTACTTAACGCATAACCTTGGACAGTAGAAACCTCTCAAAATCTCAGTTTACTCATCCATAAAATGGGAATCTTAATACCTAAATCACATGGCTTTCATGAGGATTCTTAGTAAGCAAAATAAAGCCCCTGTCCTCATGTAGCTTATGTTCTTGTGAGACAGATAGTCAATAACAAAGTATACAGACAAATATATAATTTCGAAGTAGTGATTAAAAAAAGGCAGAAAGAAGAAAGTGGTATAAAAGATTAGAGTAATTGGGAGACAAGGTAGTTTCTACTTTAATCTGGTAGAGAGGTTACTTCTGAGAAGACATTTGAGCTGAAACTTGAAGGAAGAGGGAGAAAGACAGGGGAAGTAGAAAGGTTCTGAGGTGAAAATGGGTTTGGCATGTTCCAGAACATTAAGGAACATTAAGGAAACCCGTATGGCTAAAGTGGGGTGGGAAAGTATAGGAACTGAGTTCAGAAAGGTGAGCAGACCATACAAGGGGACTGAAATCTAGACTAAGAATCACAAAGAGCCATCGGAGGGCTTTGAACATGGAGGTGGTATACAATGACTTATGTTTTAAGAGACTCCTTTGGGTTCTGTGCAGAAAATGGACTGTGGGGACAGCAGTAGAAGGTGCTAGAGGATGCTACTGCTGAGCTTGTAAGAGATGATGGGGGCTTGGACAAGGTTGCAGTTGGGGAGATTTAGGATGTATTTCCAACACAGATTTGACAGGATTAGCTGAGGGACTGGACATGAAGTTTGAAGATTTGACTTTTAGGTGTTTGGCATAGTGAATAGTGATGTCATTTCCTGAGATGGGGAAGAGCTGTTGAAGAGCAGTATAGAATAAGAGTTCTGTTCTGGACATGTACAGTGTGAGAGGCCTAGTAGACATCCAGGTGGGAAGTTAAGTAGGCTTTTGAGATTTGAGGGGGAAAGCAGAGGCTAGGGATATAAATTTTGGAGTCATTAGCACACAGGGCTAGATGTGATCACTCAGGGAGTGAATATAGATGGAGAGAAGAGCTTGTGACTGAGCTCCCCACAGTTTAGAGGTGAGGAGAAGGGAGAGCCAGCAAAGACGACAGGGAGTCGTACCAGCAAAACCAGGAGATTTGAGCATGCTGACCTGGAGGCTAAATTGACAAAGTGTTTTCAAAGGGAAGGAGTAAACAATTATGTCAGATGCGACAGAGAAGTTCAGTTTGATGAGTTTCTGGATTGTATTAGACTTTCAAAATCATTGGATTTGACCTTCAACAGGAAGGTCATTCACCATCTGGAAAAGAACGGTTTGCCTGGGCTCATGGAAACCAAAGCCTATTTGCAATGGGTGGAGGAGTAAACAATAAGTGGAGAAGTGGAGACAATGGTTCTAGGGTACTTAACATCCAGGAAGAGCTGCCGTCGGAGACATACAAGTCCCTAAAAGTTTTATGCAGAATTCTGCGTGTCTGTACAAGCTGTGTTCTCCAGAAAGAGAAGCCCCAGCTCCCATCATATATTTAAAGGACCATGTCACCAAAAATCCTGCAATAGAAAATTCAGTGGCTGGCCCAGAGCTGCCAATGCCCTGAGAGTAAGCAGGAGGCGTGGCACCCCCTCTAGGTGCTAGCTCCCTGCTGTGGCCAAGGACACGGGGCATTCAGCCTTTTAAATTTTTTTTTAAGAACAGAAAAAGAAAAAAAAATTAGTAGCTTTTTTTCCATAAGTAAAGCCCCTTTAAAACTTAACCTTACAGAATCTACTCTCAGCTTTAAAGGATTTTCAAGGCTAAAAGAGCACCTCTGTGTGACCTCTGGTGGATGTTATGAAAACGCAGGCCAAGCATTTCCATTTTATAGGAAGGACATTTGAAAAGATTGCTTAGAAAAATCAATTTTTATAATCACTTAGATTGTCTAACAACCAAGCGTATCCAATAAGAATAATACATCATCTAATTGGTATATAAATGATAAATTTTTATAATTTATTTATTTATTTATTTTTTAATATTTTATTTATTTATTTAACAGAGAGAGAGACAGCGAGAGAGGGAACACAAGCAGGGGGAGTAGGAGAGGGAGAAGCAGGCTTCCCTGCAGATCAGGGAGCCCGATGCGAAGCTCGATCCCAGGACCCTGGGATCATGAACTGAGCCGAAGGCAGACGCTTAACAACTGAGCCACCCAGGCACCCCTAAATTATAAATTTTTAAGTGTATAAATGAAAGTAAGCCCAGAATAGAATAGTATAAGACTTAAATTTTTTTCTAACCACTAGGGGAATAGTACGTATAGGCTGGGGTTCGGAGACACAATTCAGTAGGTCATTCTGCATCTGTTCACAGAGTTCAAAATAAACTCTATATTTTCCTTCCAGACACAGTCTGAATAAAATTGGCCATTTTGCTGGTCTCTCCTTTTGTAAGAATGGGCAATACAGAAGGCCTAACATGCGTTTGCATGGCTGGTTTTGCAATGGAAAGTGAGCAAATACGTCAGAGTCGGGAAAAAAAATGCACTTCTAGGCCTGCAGCATCTGCTCTCAGGAATCCTTAGAGAATTTGAGCCCTAGCTGCTGGGTATTCAACAGTGCTCCTCCTCTGCAGAAAATGTCAAGTTCTCTGAGTACAGAAGTCACGTGTTACAGTTCTTTTCTTTCTTCAGGAATGCTGGTGCCTAAGAGGTTTGCAATAAAAAACTGATGATTTGAAAAGCGTGAAATGTGCGCCTTGTAATCATTGAAAAGGAATCATGAAAATGAGGGGCTCTAGTAGTTTCAAAATAACATCTGTAGGGGGGGTGCCTGGGTGGTTCAGTTGGTTAAGCGTCTGACTCTTGACTTCAGCTTGGGTCTTGGTCTCAGCGTTGTGAGTTCAAGCCCCATGTTGGGCTCCATGCTGGGCATGGAAAAAAATCTGTGAGGGATTCTGGGCTTCTAGACCATATCTTGTCTCAAATGAACTATCAATGCCCAGACATTTAACCCATAAACTTCATGTAAATACAATAAAATCCTTGGATGATTTGACCTATTTAAATGACTTCGATTCTTCTGGGTCAGTGATCTTCAGTTTGGGTCCCTGGACCATCAGCCTCAACACCAACTGGGAACTTGGTAGAAATGCAAATTGCCGACCCCCCTCCCAAGAACTACTGAGCCAGTGACTCTAGGGATGGTTCCCAGCAATCTGCTTTTAACAGGTTCCCGGGTAATTCTGATGAAATCCAAATTTTGGGAACCACTGTTACTGGTCACACCTATATTGATAAAGATTGAAGATATTACTGTGCTTTTCTTGGAAAAAATTCTACTTCTTATTGAATAGAAATAACTCCACCAAAAACATGGGATAGCAATGTAGATACTGATACCTATAGCTACTTTTTGTAAATATAAGCTTATTTGGACACAGGCAAAATAATTATAAAATTAGCTCAAGAATTTCCCAAGTATCCATTTTTCTTTTGATAGTCATGGTTTTGTAATAAATAAAATAATCATTCTACCATTAAATAGGTAATTTCATATTCATTTCAGAAATATACTTCATTTGTCATGGAGATTACCTGCAGGTGGATTTTTAATGCGGCACTCATCTCTTTTAATATAAAGTTCTTCTTCTAGTACTTCCTTAATTCTCTTATGTGGCTCAGAATATAAGAATTTCTTCCCTATAAAGACATTAATAAAATTGGTTATTTATCATAAATTATGCCAAACTTTCTAGCCATTATACCTACATGAATAACGATTTCTTAAAAAGACACATCCCTCCATACAAACAGCAGATGATTCACCCTATTTTGGAAAGATCCCTTTTTGGTTCTTTTGGGACTTTACACTTTCACATAATTCCTGAACTTTTGTGGTAAGTTTCAGATACCTGTTTTAGGTGTTAGGAAGAAATATACGGAGTTTCCTTCATTTGCTTCAAGAAAACTCATTTATTCGATAAATCCTTATTAAGGACCTACTCTGTGCCAGGTGCTGGGCTAGGGACAGAGGACAAGCAATGAATAAGACAGATGTGCCCATGGAGCCTACAATCCAGCTACATAACACAGAACAACCTCAGCCTTATTTAGTCATCATTTTGAGAGGTAAACGTGAATTGTAGTAGTGAATCACTTATGGACATACGACTTTTTCCTGGTCTCTAAGCCTGGCCCTATAGGACATCACTGGTATTGTGGAGGCCTGGCTTATTTGTTCTAAGTACCTTAGCAATATTTCTTCTGCTCACCCCCCAGAGCTCTTTGCTACCTGACACTGTCACCCCCATTTCTCCTGTCAGCCCCTCTCTCTTGCTTTCTGGGCTTCATCGTGGCCCTTCTGTCCATTCCCACATCAAAGCCTATGTACATTCTATTTTGTGCCTGAACTGCCTTTCTCCTAGTATTTTTGCCTGGGTAACTTCTACTCAAATTTCAATCCTAGGCTTAAGGTTGGTTCTCTGGGGAAGCTTTCCCTGACTCTACAATCCTCAAATGTTCCTGGATACTTTTTTAGCATAGGACTCTCCTCTTTTCCTTCATTTCATTTATTGCAATTTGTATATGGCCTCATTTGCTTTATATGCCATTATTTATGTAACTATTAGTTGAATATATGTCTTCCTTATCAGACCATAAATACCATTGGGCAGGGATGTTTTCTGTTTAGTTCATCAGAGTCTTAGAGCAGAATCGGGTGTAATAATAGACCAAATGTGTGTCCAAGTAGAACTCAGCATTGTTAAATTAGATGGAGCTCAAAGACTATTCTTGTGCATGAATGCCAATGCCGCCTTGTGAATGTCAGGGAACCAGTGGTTAGTTCTAGTCTTAATACTCAAAAGCTCAATGCAAGGAACCATGGAAAACCTAACCAACCCAATACTTTAGCTATTTAAGATGTGACTTTAAACTCACAATGGCAGGTGCCTCATCTTTCCCAGACTAACCAATAAAGAACGCAAGTGAAGAGCTTTGACTTGTGTACTGACCAGCCCAAAGGGGGTAAGAGACCACTGCTGTGGTCCTGGGTCACTCCTGGTCAGGAAGACTCAAACACACCTTCAGACACAAACAAGGTAGAATTAGATACTTTCTGTGTCTCATTTTTGTTTCCCAAAAGTTAGGAGACATATGAACACGAGGTGGGGGTTAGCTTTACTCAAGCTTAACTTTGGTTTAAACTTTTTTGGCTAAATCATGATTCTAAGGCAGAAAAGGGTTTAAGAAACATGGTTAAGAAGGAAGAAAATCCTGTAACAGTTCAGTAGAACAGAAGAGATCACCTTCTCTAAGTTCAAGTCTCTTGACGAATTTCAGCCCTGCTGTTGTAAGAATTTACAGAGGAAATCACTAAAGGTTTTGAGGAACTGTGAAAAATTAGAGTAGCAAAGAGCTTAGTATAGGCAAGTATTCCCCGCTCCAAGAAGGAAAGAAGGAAGGAAGGAAGGAAGGAAGGAAGGAGGGGAGGGAGGGAGGGAGGGAGGAAGGGGGGAGAGAAGTAGGAAGGAGAGAAGGAAAGAAGGAAAAAAAATTCTACAAACTCTAACATAGCAGCTTGATGTTGATCTTCACCAACATTTGAGTGGGTTAGCCAACAGGTGGCTTTGAGTACAGATAATGAGGAACAGTGATCATCACTAAGTGTTAAGGACTACTAAGAACAATATTATTCCAGATTGAACTGCTCTCTTTTGTTAAGAGCTAATAACAATTGCTATAATTTATTGAATGCTACCATACATATATTATTAGCATCCTACATATATTATTTCTCTTTTTCAAAATCATTCTATGGGCAGGTATAATTATTCCTATTTTATAGTTGCAAAAGTAACTCTCAGAAATCACAAAACTAGTCATAAAAATTAAAAGCCATGCCTACCTGACTCCCCCAAACCCAAGTTACTAAACTAACTAGATTAGGAAGATGTCATAGCCACAATGCATCTGCATTTCAGCAAGGCATTTGATAAAGTGTATTTGTAGGAGGCAGAACACCCATGCCGAAGATGCTGAATGACATTCCAGAGACTCTCCTTGGAACTGTTGGAAGTACCACCTAGTTTGCTAATTTGGATATGGAGAGGAACTGCCTACTCACCGATTGTGAGAATGGCACAAACTTGCTGAATGGCAAACTTAGGACTCAAAGGGCTGCTTCTGTACTTGGAATGGAGTGCTAAAATTCATAGAATGGTACTGATAGGGATAAATATAATGACTTGTATTTAGGATGAAACAAATTAACTGCATAAATAAAAGATAGAAAAAGCCTGGATCAAATGTTTTCGATTGGACAACAGGGGAAAAAGAAACTAAGGATGTCATAGACTGCATTTGTTATATCTATTAATAATATAATGTGCCTGCCAAAACAGCTAATTGATTCTGGGTCCATTTAATAGAATTAGAACGTTCAGATCAAGGGAGGTTATAGTCCCAGCATGTTACCCTAACCTGATCATACCTAGAATACTGGATTCAGTGGTTTAATAAACTGGAGAATGTTGGAAGAGGTTAGCCAGGATGGGGAGAGTGCTACAAAGTATTTTAAAGATGAGCCTGAAGTCTATGAAGGATTTGGTGGCTGTTCAAATAGCCACCTTCATAAAATTCAAGGATGTTTTACTGGGAAAGGCCCATATTTCATCTGTGTATATTTCAGATCAGATCTATGATTAGGGAGTAGAAGCTACAGAGAGACAGAAGACTTGCCCAGAAAACATTTGACAATCGAATGGGTACTTAATGTGCGTGTGAATAGCCTGGCTCTACTCAGGCTGAGGCCCTAGAAGGAGGTTCTCTGGGAGGCTGAGGCAAGAGTGCTCTATGCCCTGACCCTGACTTTCTGAGGTCCTCAAAGTTTGGACACATGCCTTAATTCATCACTCACTTTTCCGCAACTTGCCCAGTGCCTGGCATGCAGTAAGGATTCAGTATTCGTTGAATGGATGAGTGAATGATTAATTCCACCTTTTACTCCTAAAGAACTCCAGAGGACTAAAGAACCTTTCATTTCTAGCATCTTTAATGGGAAAATTCCCAGACAGAATTTGAAGTTGGAGTAAGAACTTACTTAAATATACCAAATACTTAAATATACTGGATTTAGTTGCCCCGAGTAAGGCCTCTGCATGCTGTTGATAATCAAAGGAATGGGGGAATGGCCCTTTCTCTAGGAGACACTGGTTCTGCAGCTCCTTGATGAGGAGTCCTGGGAGCAGGCTGTGTGGCCCCCTGAGGCAGGGGGGCTGAGCCGCTTCAGCCACACCCTCCCTCCTGGGGTCTGCCGGGCTACACAACCTGAGGCTGGTCTCTAGAGAGGCAATCAAGGAGGCGATGCAGAAGGGCCAGAAACTGCGGGCATTCCTCATTGGCCTATTATTTTCCCCATCATCATTCCTTAGCACTTCCTGAAAACCTGTAGAGTACAAGGGACTGTGAAATATAAATTCATGGAACAATATGGATGAGCGCAGAGGCCTGGAGCAGACTCCAGCTTCAGCCATGTTGGTTGTGACTCTGGACCAGAACTGCCTTTACTCACTTGAATATTGTTTGTGTGTTTGGCAGGGCAAGGAAGGAAACCCTTGTGTTAAAATGTGGCCTGTCATTCTGAGATTCTAAAAGTATCAGGTAGTGATAACTGATGAACTGAGAGTCCAAGACAGGTGAGGTTTAGCGTTTTAAGTACTTCTCCCGCATTGACTGAGTCACTGTGAGCAAGTCACTTCATTTCCCCCAGTCTAAACCTCAGTTTCCTGGTCTGTAAAATGAAGGAATTGGCAAAAATGAGCCACATGTTTCTCTCTCTGTGTGTATATTTATGCATATTATAAATGTTTATACATTTTATATTTTATTATATATAAATTCAAATTTATATATTAGATTTTTATAATTACACGCACACATACACACACTTTTTTTTTTTTCCCCAGTACCTTCCAGGTCAATGCCACTACCTATCAGGTTGGAGGCTACCTGGGCTCAGGCAGCCTTTGGTGAAGGCGGCTTTGGGGAAATGGACCGGGTGGGTGCTTTCTGCCCCAGCGCCATCACCACCTCTGCCTTTGCCAAAACTGCAGCTCTGTCCCTTCCCTCCACACCTTCAGCGAGTCTCACTCCGGTTCCCCCGCTTCCCCTTCCACGCGTTCGACACGCCCCGAGTCCCTGCGCGCACGGTGCGCGACCGGAGGGGAACTCACACTGTTTGCAAGACGCCTGGGGGCCGCCGCCGCCGAGCTCCCCGCGCGCCCCGCACCCCAGCCCGGCAGGCGGCCGGGGCTGCTCCTGGTCTCCGCCCGCCTCCGGCACCGCCACCGCGCCCACCACCACCGCTTCTTCCCGCCTCATGCCGCGGGGGTCTTCTTCGCAGCCGGGGGCCCGCTGGCGTTCTCGGCTCCGCCGCGGGCTGCCTGGGAACGCGCGGCGTCGCCGGTTGCCATAGTAACTGCGGATCCTCGCTGACCCTGGCGCTCGCAGCTTGCGGCTCCCAGGCCCCAGGGGTCCCGCGCGCCCGGGATGGAGCTGAAGGTAGGGAGCTGCGATCACCCCTCTCCCCCTTAAATTACCCCCCGCCCCCGGCCCAAACAGCCCAATCTCAAGGTCGTTTCTCACTCCAACGGCGCAGGAGTAGCTTTGCTATTCCCAGGTAGGGACACCGAGATTCAGAAAAGCTACGGAAATTGTCCGAGGTCACATGGCCCAAGAATAGATCACCACCTGGTACAGGTAGAGGTGGGAGCAGGTACTAGACAGGTGAGTGCAAGGTAAGGTCGCTAGTTCCACACAGCGTTGTGCTCCTCGTGCCCCACTCCCTTCTACACACAACGTGATCTAATAAGTGAATGCTGAGGATCCCAAACTTTTGGATCAAGGTTTTGTATTTATTTATTTGTCAGAGAGAGAGAGTGTGTGTAAGCAGCGGGAGCAGCAGGCAGAGGGAGCAGCAGGCAGAGGGAGAAGCAGGGAGCCCGATAAGGGACTCGATCCCAGAACTCTGGGATCATGATCTGATTCGAAGGCAGGCGCTTAACGACTGAGCCACCAGGCATCCCTGATCAAGCTGTTTTTAAACAACTCTTGTTTTCAAGCACTTTTGTATTCATGATCTATTTCAATCTATATCTAAGAACTAATTTTACAGATGAGAAAAATCAAATTCAGAAAAGTTTGATTTGAATAGCAAGTGGGGAAATCTAGAGATTTGGAGCAGGAGGTTGCTCTTGTTTGTTTTTGCAGTCATTAACAAATTGTGGCGTGTTGTTAATTTTATAAAGGCTAAATGCATTATTTTACAGAGGGTTATGGTTCTACAAACTTGTAACCAAATACAGGCAACCCCATCTGCCTCCATTTCACCACCGAAGCAACCTCTTTCACACCTCTGGCCTGGTAATTGAGTATTTACGACTGTATAGCAAAATGTTTATTTTGATGTGTTATGTTTTCAATCTTAGGTATCATATGTTGATTTCCTACTTTGAAAGATAAGGATTTAGTTCTCCTTCATTATCAGCCATCTAGCTGCTCAGAATGGGGAATTTGAGGGTCTAACTGCTTTATTTTTATTGTGGTAAAATACACATAAAATTTAACCATTTTTAAGCATACAGTCCAATAGCATTAAGTATACTCATACAGCCATTACCACTCTCCATTTCTACAACTTTTTCATTATCCCAAATAGAAACTCTGTACCCATTAAATAATAATTCCCAATTTCCCCCTCTCCTAACCCCTGATAACCTCTATTCTAGTTCCTGTCTCTATGAATTTGGCTACTTTAGGTACCTCATATAAGTGGAATCATACAGTATTTTACCTTTTGTGTCTGGCTTATTACACTTAGCATAATTTTTTTTTAAAGATTATTTATTTAAGAGAGAGAGAGTGGGGGGGAGGGGCAGAGGGAGAGAATCTTTCAAGCTGACTCCCCCTTGAGCATGGAGCTAGACATGGAGCTCCATCCCACAACCCATGAGATCATGACCTGAGCTGAAACCAAGAGCGGATGCCTAACAGACTGAGCCACCCAGGCACCTCACTTAGCATAATGTTTTTAAAGTTCATCTATGTCATAGCATATATAAGAACTGCATTCTTTTAAAGTTGAATAGTATTCCATTGTGTGGACATACCACATTTCCTTATTCATCTGTTGATGGATGTTTGAGTTGTTTCCACCTTTGCCGGTTTCCAATAATGCAACAATGAGCACTGACATACAAGTTACCTATTTGAGTTCCTGCTTTCAATTCTTTTGAGTACATACCTAAAAATGGAATTGCTGGATCATGTGGCAATTCCATGTTTAACTTTTAAAGGAACCATCAAACTTTTTCAAGTGTTTACACCATTTTACATTCCCAACAGCAATGTACAAGGGTTCCAGTTTCTCTATGTCCCTACCAACACTTGTTACTTTCCTTTTTTAAAAATAATAATAATAATAATAATAATAATAGCCAACTATCCTAGTTAGTATGAAGTGGTATCTCTTTGTGGTTTTGATTTGCATTTCTCCAATGACTGTGATGTTGAACATCTTTTCATATGCTTATAGGATATCTGTATATCTTCTTTGAAGAGATGTCTATTCAAGTATATTGCTTGTTGGATTATTTGTTGTTGAGTTGTAGGAGTTCTTTATATATTTTGAGTATTAATGTCTTATCAGATGTATGACTTGTAAATATTTCTCCTATTCCATGGGCTGCCTTTTCATTTTATTGATAATGCCCTTTGATTTCAATAAGTTTTAATTTTGATGTAGTCTCATTTATCTGTTTTTCCATTTAATGCTTTTGCTTTTGGTGTCACATCCAAGAAACCACTGCCAAATCCAATATCATGAAGATTTTTCCCCCTATATGCTTTCTTCTAAAAATTTTATAGTTTTAGCTCTTACATTTAAGTCTTTGACCATTTTGAGTTAATTTTTGTATCTCATTACAGTGTGATGTATGACTCTAACTTTATTTTTTTGCATGTGGATATCCAGTTTTCCCAGCACCATTTGTTGAAAAGACTGTTTTTTCCTCCACTGAATTGTGTTGACACCCCTGTCAAAAGTCAATGGCCCATAAATGTGAGGGTTTATTTCTGGATTCTCAATTTTATTCCATTGATCTATATGTCTATCCTTATGCCAGTACCACATGTCTTGATTAACAGTTTTCTAGTAAGTTTTGAAATCAGAATGTGTGAGGCCTCCAACTCTCTTCTTTTTTAAGACTGTTTTGGCTCTTCTGGGTTCCTTGCATTTCCATATGAATTTTCAGATCAGCTTATTGATTTTTGTAAAGAAGTTACCTGGAATTTTGAAAGAGATTGCACTGAATCCGTAGATCAATGTGGAGAATGTTATCATCTTAACAATAAGTGTTTTGACCCATGAACATAAGATGTCTTTCCATTTATTTAGTGCTTCTTTAATTTCTTTCAATAATGTTTTATAGTTCTCAGAGCAAAAGTTTTGCACTTTTGTTAAGTTTATTCCAAAGTATTTTATTCTTTTTGATAGTTTTGTACATAAAATTGTTTTTTAACTTAATTTTCAGTTTGCTCATTGGTCCTTTTAGAAATATAATTGATTTCTTGTATATTGATCTTATATTCTGGAGTGTTGCTGAACTCATTAGTCTTAATAGTTTTTTCAGTGAATTCCTTATGATTTTCTATATACAAGAGCATGTCATCTGCAAATAGTGATACTTTTACTTCTTTTCCAATCTGGATGCCTTTTATTTTATTTTCTGGCTAGAACCTCCGGTACAATGTTTAATAGAAGTGGTGAGAACAGACATCCTTGTCTTGACTTGATCTTAGATGGAAAGCATTCAGTCTTTCACCACTAAGTATGATGTTAGTTTTGGGTTTTTATAGATGTCATTTATCAGGTTGAAAAGTTCTCTTCTATTCCTAATCTGTTGAGTGCTTTTATCATGAAGGTTAGCAATATTTCTTTGTTTTGCTATTTTAGTGGTCACTTTAGTGATTACAGTATATGTCTTTAACTTTTCATGCGCTACCTTCAAGAGATAATATACCTCTTTATGTATAGTTTAAGAAACTTCCATTTCTCCCCTCAGCCATTATATAATTGTCGACATATATTTTACTTTTAGATGTTGTAAACTCTGTAAAAATTGTTATCATTGTTGTTTAAATAGTCAATTATCTTTATTTTATTTATTTATTTTTTAATTAATTTTTTTTTGAGAGAGAGAGAGAGAGAGAGAGAGAAACAGCATGAGAGGGGATAGGGTCAGAGGGAGAAGCAGGCTCCCTTCTGAGCCGGGAGCCCGATGTGGGACTCGATCCCAGGACTCCGGGATCATGACCTGAGCCGAAGGCAGTTGCTTAACCAACTGAGCCCCCCAGGTGCCCCAATTATCTTTATTTTAAAAGATTTTATTTAATAATTAGAGAGTGCGAGTCGGGAGAGGAGCAGGGGGAGAGGGAGAGAGAGAATATTAAGCAAACTCTGCACTGAGTGCGGAGCCCATTGCAGGGCTCAATCTCAGGCACCTGAGATCATGACCTGAGAAAATCAAGAGTCAGACACTTAACCAAATAGTCAATTATCTTTTTAAAATATTTATTTTATAAATTTGTATTATAACATTTACTTGTAAAACCAATCAATGAGACCATTTAGGGTATTTGGACAATCACAAACATTTGTAATTTACCACCTTAACCATTTTTAAGTATCTTTACATTGTTGTTTAACAGATCTCTAGAACTTTTTCATTATGCAAAACAGAAACTTTACACCCATTGAACACCAACTTCCTATTTCTCCTTTCCCCCAGCCCCTGGCAAGAACCATTCTACTTTCTGTTTCTATGAATTTGAATACTTTAGATATCTCATATGAGTAGAGTCATATAGTATTGGTCTTTTTGTGACTGGCTTATTTCATTTAGCATAATTTCAAGGTTCATCTCTATTGTAGCATGTGACAGCATTACCCTCTTTATAAAGGCTTAATAATTTTCTTTTTTTTTAAAGATTTATTTATTTGTTTGAGGAGGGGAGGGGCAGAGGAAGAGGGACAGAAATCTTGAAGTAGAATTCCTGCTGAGTGCAGAGTCCGATGCAGGGCTCCATCCCAGGACCCTGGGATCACAACCTGACCCGAAATCAAGAGTTGCACACTTAGCCTCCCGAGCCACCCAGGTGCCCCAGGCTTAATAATATTCTATTTTATGTATATGCTACATTTTATTTCTTTATATATATATACTACATTCATCTGTCAATGGACATTCATCACCTCTTTGCTGTTGTAAATATTGATGTAATGAACGTGGATGAGCAAATATCTCTATATGTTCTGGATATTA